GGAGGGCAGGCAGTCTATCCTGGTCCTCCCTGGAAGGTGGTGCCAGCCCATGTGAAGCCTGACTCCTTGTTTGGAGAAGGCAGACGTGAGCACTTGTGCGAGACACAGAATTGGGAGTCCATGCTCCTCAGGAGGAGCTCCTTTGAGGAACACACTTGGAAGAGCTTTGCCTTCTGGTGCAGGGCCTGTGCCCCCTTGCCCGCCAGTTGGGGTCGGTACTGCCAGAGCCAGGTCTGCCTGGGGGCAGGTGGGGACTGGCCTGGGAGGGCCCTTGCCTGAAGTGCCCTGTGGTCCCACCAGGAGCAGCAGGAGGAGGTGAGGAAGCGCTGTGAGAGCGCGGAGCCCCGGCACGGGGAGCTGTGGTGCGCCGTGTCCAAGGACATCGCCAACTGGCAGAAGAAGATTGGGGAGGTCCTTAGGCTGGTGGCCGGCCGCATCAAGAACACCTTCTGATTGGCTGGTCTCCATGGACCGGGCTTGGGCTGCACTGGGGAGGGCATGTGGAGGCCTCTGGGCTGTGTCCTCCTCCGTTATCATCCTCCATTAAAAGTTTTTATGTCTTGTGTCAGAGCGGGTGGCCTGCTGGTTTTCTCTGGGGTTCTTCTCTGGCTCCTGCTTCTGCTGCCTCAGTTGGGCCTGTCCCGGCCTGTCCCATGCTGTCCTGGGGTGGTTGGGATCGCCCTTGCTTGGGCAGAAGCCTCTTGCAGACAGCTGGTATCTCTCAGAGGACACACTGGAGGTGCCGGGGTTCCCCAAGGTCGTGGAGAAGGTGGTGGGGTGCAGATGTTCCGGGTGAAAGCCATGTGTGCGGACAGCTGGAGACGGTGGGGACCGAGCTGTGCGCAGGCCAAGGTGCTCACAGGAGCCTGGCAGCTGCCTGCAAAGGTTTTGGTCAGGGGACAGCTGGGGCCTTCCTGTGGTCTTGAGCGCGCCTCTCCACATCGGCCTCTCCACATCGCCTCCCAGGCCCCTCGGGCACATGCTGAGTGGCAGTGCCACCAGTAAGAGGTGTTCTTACTTTTGGAGGGGAGTTTATTTTTGCTGATTTATCATTAGCAGTTAAACCCCTAAAGCACTTGTAAGTGAAAGTTGTAATGGAGACAGAGCTTCTTTTCAGCCTTAGCTATGTGAGGAGGAAGGACTTCCTGGGGCCTGGATCCTGTGTGCGCATTCAGTTGGGAGCCAGCTGGCTCTTTTGTGTAGGCCGGGGCTGGAGACATCTGGCTGGAGGTCATGGCAGGCCCGGAGGCCGTGGGTGGAGTCGCGCAGGCCTGCCGGCGAGGAAGAAGCTGCTGTAGAGCAGTTGTCCTGGACGTTCCCTGTGAGAGGGGAGCCCCGGAGGGTCCCACCTTGTCCTGTGGTGCCAGTGCCAGTCCGTGGTGGCCAGGCCCCGCCCCACAGCTCTGCCCTCCTGCACATGGGGCCTGTGCTCGGCCTGGTGGTCTGCCTGCCCTGCTCTGACGAGTGACAATGGCTGGGGTGGGGGAGCCCTGTCTGCACATGGGGCAGTCCTGCTAGGCCAGAATGTGGGCATGGGTCCCCCTTCTCTGTGGTTCTGGGGACCTCAAGGACATGGCCAGTCCAGGGCAAGGGACCTGCCACCCCTGTGTGGGGTCAGGAACTGCTGGTTGGTCTCTGCTGGGCAGGCAGCCGGGGGTCCAGCTCGAATCATTGGAATCTGGAAGTCCTTCCTCACCCCCTCCTGAGGAGCGGCTGCTGGAACTTCATGAGTGTTCTCATTGAAACCTGGGGAGGAGTTTCCTTTGATATCTCGTGGAGAGATGGAGGAATGAGGGAGCCTTCAGAATTTACTCTGAAGATGAAGAGGGTCCTGCAGCTTTTTGGTCTGTAAGCCAGCCTGGCTCTTTGCAGATGTGGAAACCAGGGCCTAGGAGGAAGCCAGGAGGGAAGGCTTGGCTTCTTGGCACTTCTCTGACCTTGGAGCTGAGCATGGCCCATGCTGGGTGGGCACTCAGGGGTCACACAGAAAAGCATGTGTCCGGCCATGTTCAGGGAAGTTTCCTGCAGGGCCCTTGGAGAGTTCCAGGGTGCCTGTGCCGTCCAGGAGTGTCTCTGTCTTGCCTGTGTGGGGTTTTCTCAAAAGCTTCGAGGTGGTCAAACTACAGTTGTGCGTCACAACGGTTGGGGATCCATTCTGAGAAACACCTTGTTAGGTGATGTCGTCTTGCAAACATCAGACTGCATTTACACAAGCCTGGCAGGCACGGCCTCCTGCACCCCCAGCCTGGACTGCTGGGCTGCGGACCTGCACAGCCTGTCACCGTGGGCAGTTCTAGCGTTAAACACACGAGGCCGAGACATGAAGATACAGTGCTAGAACCCTAGGGGACCCTGTCCTGTGTGGTCTGTTGTTGACTGTATTGTGTGAATCACTGACTTTTCCTCCTGGGAAACAACCTTGACTTTTCTTCAACTGAATTCTTTAGGCCCAGAAAGGCGAGTTGCACCTCAGAGGTGGTTCTGAGACGTCTCTTCACTGCTGTCTGTCAGGCTGCAAACCGGGGTGCACTGGCACCACAGGCAGCAGAGCAGTGGCCCCCAGACGCGACCTCCTCAGCAAGGGGACCCTTCAGCCCAGGAGGAGCGAGGCTGGGCGGGCAGTGGGGGCCCTAGAAGCCCACGTCTTGGGACCCACTGGGGCAGGGCCCCGTGGATGTCAGGCTGCAGGTCTGGCAGCTGGGGAGGGGAAGAGGGCTTCCCACCAGCTCTGCTCCTCAGTCAGATCCTGGGGGAGGCGGTCCTCGCTGGCCACAGTTGGCCCCTGTCTCACCTGGCTCCCCTCCCCGACCAGCTGGGCCCTGCCCTGCCCCAGCCCACGGGGCGCCCACCCCTCCTTGACAGAACAGGGTCTCTGGCACTGACAAGTTAATAATCCAAGACCCACAGCAGTGCCCTGGATCCCCTGGGAGAGGTGGCGGCTCAGCTTCAGGGCCAGGTTAATTGAAGTGATAGGGAGTGGGGAGAGGGAAGGGGCAGGGCTGGGATTGCGTGGCCTCTCCTGCTCCCTCCCTCGGCTTGGAGGAGCCAACTTCAAAAGCCCCGCTTGGCCTGTGCCTCAGCAGTCCTCCCTGCAGCCTGCCCAGGGACGCCGCTGGCTGGTGCTGGCCCCGGTGTGGCGGCGCACGCCCCGTCGGAGGACCCAGGATCATGTGCATGGCCTGCTGGTGGGAGTGAGGGAGGGCAAGATCCTGAAAGGTCCATGGTGAGCAGCTGTGGGCCTCCCCTAGGGAGGGGGCTCGCTTGGGTGGAGGGGCTGGGGGTACACAGCCCAGGAGATACTGCTTGTTCCGCTGAGCCCCTACCGAGATATCTCTGGTTGGCTCCGGCCACTGTGTCACTGTGGGTGACAGTGGGTGCGTGGCCCTGGCCCCTGGTAGTGGGGAGGGGGGCTCCTGGGTGCCGGCCACCCTGTTCTCCTAAGCTGAGCTGAGGCTTGAGTCAGGAAGTTCTGCTCACAAGCTCAGTGGGACTCCCGGGCGGCCCAGCCTGACTCCCCACCTGGGCGAGGCGCAGCAGGTGCTGCACATCTACATCTCGTGGCCCCAGCGAGCCTGCTCGGGAGTCGGGCTCTGGTTCTCGATGACTCTCTGACCCACAGCAGGCAGAGGATGACGTCGCAATTCTGAACCCGCCAAGTTGGCCGTGGTGTGTGTGGTTGGGGGGCCAGGTTTCAAGAAGGGGCCACGGCAGACCATCTGCTCCTGCAGCCATTGCTGCTCGGTGCTCCGAGCAGGAGCTGCCACCCCAGCCCCAGGCCCCCAGCTCTAGGCGAGGGTTGGGGTGCTGCTTGGCCGGGCTCCCCTGCCAGGGCTGGGAAGCCGAGTCGAGTCCTGTTATCTCGGTCGGGTTCGCATGATTAATTTTCCAGCCCTAGATCTGCTGTCTGACTCTAGCCTGGGGGCCCGGGGGAAGGTTTGCGGGCTGGGAACCTGGGGGCCATCAGCCATCTCCTTGCTGTTTGGGCTTTTTTCCCTGTGGGAGCAGGCCTTCCACTTTGGGTCGGGGGAGGCCTATGGGACAGGCTGGTACAGGCAGAGGGGCTTCTGCATCTGTTGATTGGGGCTGGATGTGGTGGCCCCTTCCTCCTCTGTGGCTTCTTGGAGTGCCCCCCGGCCTTCCCCTTCCAATAGGGTGTGGCTTGAAGCTCTGAGCTCCTATGCCTGCCCCAATTGGGTTGGGGATTCCGGGAGACCAGATTCTCCTGTCTCTGTGAGCTAACCCAGAGGATGCCAGTGCGGGAGGTGTGGGTTGAATAGATTGAATGGGCATGGCCACAAGTGAGATGGAAGTTGTACTGGGACAACTTCCCTGTGTACCCCCAGGAGCCTGCAGACCAGCCCCACTGAGCTGTGCGGGGCCAGAGGGGCCCTGCCCTGTGCAGGGTGTGGGTGCTCCACCCCTTGCCTGCCGCACTCGCACAGGGACTACAGTGCCAGGCTCTCCCGCCTCTGGGCCTGTCCTGTCTCCTGCTGGGTTCTTCAGGTCAGTGACATGGCCTCCCAGCCCGCATCACTCACGCTGCACATCTTCGCAGGGAGCATAGGCTGTGTGGTTTGCAGACCTAGCTGCTGTCTCCCGACTTATCGTGCCAGGCCTGTGCCTAGAGCCTTTCTTGATTGGTGACATGTCCACTTCGTAAGGCTCAGAGATCCCGTGGGGTGGGGCGGGGGGGTGTGCCTTCTATGGCTGTGGAAGCAAAGTGCAGGTGGGCTGGCTGCGTCCTGTGTGGGGAACCCCAACCTGCTGTCTCCTCCAGGTGCCCCCCAAGCCTGCACTCTGGGCGCTCCTGCTGGCGCTGCTGGGGACAGCGCCAAGCCGCGCCCAGTCCCCCGCCTGCAGCGTCCCCGACGTGCTCAGCCACTATCGCGCCATCATCTTCGAGGATCTGCAGGCCGCCAAGAGGTGGGGCGGGGCGGGGGCCGAAAGGACCAGGCCAGGCTCCAGACCCTTTCATTTCATGCAGAAAAACCTGACTCGCCCCGGGGGCTCCGGACGACGGCGACGGCCTGTGGCCTCCTGCGGCGCCCAGAAGGTATGGAGGAGGCGCCCCTGCCCGTGCTCGCCGCCGGCTCCTCTCAGTCTCCCCCGACCCGCCTTCCTCCCTTCCCTCCCCAGGAGCACGGTATCCTCCTGTCCATCTCGTCCCTGGGTCGGACTCTGCGCCGGGCGGTGGCCGGGGGCCGCCGCGGGGCCCTGGAGAGAGCGGCTTGGACGGCGGCGGTGCGCACCGAGGCGGTGATGCGGCGCCACTGCAGGACGCTGCGGCAGGTGTGCGCACACCTCCCCAAAACCCACGGGGGCTCCCCCGGCCTAGGCTGGGGTCGGGCCGGGCTGGGCGCGGGGGCTGCGCGTTCGCTGACCGCCCTGTCCCCGACAGCGGAGCCGGCGGCCCGAGAGGCCCCGTGCCCGGCGTCGCGGCGGCCGGAGGCAGCTCCTGCTGCGCGCCCTGGACGCCGTCGCCACCTGCTGGGAGAAGCTCTTCGCGCTGCGCGCCGCGGCCTCCGGGGGCTCCTAGCGCGGCCCGCCCAGGCCCAGCCTCCGGCGAGCGCCCCGCGCGGCAGATCCCGTCGACCTGCTGGCGACCTCGGCCCCTCGCTCGACGCAGCCCGCGTGCCCCGGACGGCCCGGAGCTTGGGGAGAGCGCGCCCGGCCGCCGCTGGGTCTCGGAGGAGGCGCGCCCTTCCCGCGCCGGAGGCCTCAATAAACGGAGCTGGCGTCGCGGCTCCCGCACTCCCTTCGCGCGCCTCTCTGTGGGCCCGGGGCCGCCCGGGTCTGCGCCTCGAGGGCGGGAGCGGTGGAGGGGAACGCGGGACCGGCACTTCCCGTCGTACCTGGACGGGGCGGGGCCGCCGCTCCCAACCTCGGGCAGCAGAGGGCGGGCGCGGGACGCTGGGCGCGCTCGGCTCGGTGCGCTGCTCACGGCTGGGCGGAGGGCAGATCGGGGGACTCCTGGGGCCCCTAAAACGTCACGTATCCGTCCTGCTCCGCTTTGGACCGGGGCAGGGGGTGGAAATTGAGGGGAGGGGAAGGCTGAACTTGGCGAATTCGGAGCAAAACAACCGGATAAAGGAAACGGGCCCGAAGGGAAGCGGGAGCTGCGGGCCCTGGCTGTGAGCTTGGCCAGGCTATTTCCTGCTGCCGCAGGAGGGGTGGCCACGGCCTGGGCGCAGAGACTGCCCAGCCCCCTCTGCAGGACTGGCCAGGCTGGCCGGGGATCTGCTTTCTGGCCCCTGGAACCCTCCATTTGCTGGGGGACTGAGCCCTGGTTCCCCCATCTGATCCACAGGTCTGAAAGAAGCAACCTCCTAAGCTGACCCTGACCCAGCCCCACACACCGTGTCAATGCATTTAGCCTGTGCCACGGAGCTACTGTTTCTGTTTCACAGATTGGGAAACAAGCGCGGGGAGGTTGTGCGACCCGCCCCAGACCGCACAGCCGGCAGTGTTAGAGCTGGCCTTGGACCCAGGCCCAGGGTCCTCGGCCTGGAGGCTGGGGAGCCAAGCTTCCTGGACTTAAGAGCCTTGACAGAGTCCCTGGCCAAGCACCCAGCAAGTGTTGCCAGGCCTAGTTCTGCGGTGCCTGCTCTGTGGCGGCCAGCATGGGCAAGTGTAGGAGGGATGACGGGGAGAGGCGGGGTGCAGGAGCCCCGGCTGGAGCCAAAGCACTTCACGGAGGCACTTGGACGTATCCCAAGGCAGCGGAAGGTCTTTGGTGAAGGAGGATGTTAGAGTGGGGATTTAGAAAGATCCCCGTGGCTTGTATGGAGGGCTGGTGAGGATGAAGGGGTGAGGACAGGTCCAGGCTGCCCAGGGTCCTGGCTGGAGTACCTGGGTGGGGCTCTGGGGAGCACTGCAGAGGGAGTGGGTCTGTTTGAGGTCCCTGAGGGAGCTGGGGCACCACGGACACAGCTGGGCTCAGCTGGGCGTGCTGGGGTTTGGAACATAAGATATAGACAGAAGAGCGTGTCTGGGAGGCAGCTGAGTTGGGGCCTGGAGAGAGAGTTCAGGAGTCTGGGCTGGGCTCAGGGACAGAATGGGGACCGGCCCTCCGTGAAGGCTCCCACTCTCGTTTCCCCAAGGGCAGCTGGCTTCTTGCACTTGGACCTACTCCAACCCCTGGGCCATGGGGAGAGCACTCCTCTCCAGTCCTAGGACCCACGCGTGGCCTCCCGGGCCGTTCCGCAGCTCCTGCCCACCCACAGTGGGCTGTTCAGAGTAATCGGAGGCAACAGAAACAGCTCCCTCAACCCCAACTGAGAAAGGTTCAAACAAGCCACAGCCTCCTGGGGGCAGGAGGAGGAACAGATGCCTCAGGCTTCTGGGGACGCATGTCCATGACTAGTCCTGGACGTCGACCACAAGGATGTGTGAGAAGCCCTGCATCCTGGCCCCTGGCCCCTTCCCCTCATGCAGGATGGGACAGAGTTCACTGGTCCAGGGTGGGGACATCCCAGCTAGACTAGGTCTGGGGGCCTGTGGGGCTGCACGAAGTGTCTCAGAGCTACCGAGAGCCATAAAGACTAGGAGAGACACTGCAGGTGCCTGCTAAGATCCGAGAGGCTCAGCACTGGGACCCTGTGGATACTTCCCATGGCTCCTGTGTAGCTCCATGAGGACAGAAGCACATCTCTTTCACCTTGGCAAGCCAGCACCTGGCCCAGGTACCACATGAGCTGCTCAAGAGATGTTTGTTGGCTGGAACTGACCAGAACTAACCCAGAGATGGAAAGAGACACAGTGGCCCCAACGGCCGATAGGGACGGAGCTGTCGGCCACGGGGCCACTGAGGGCAGATCCCACGGACTGGCCCTGTATATCCATAGACCCTGTATATCCATAGGGTGATGCCTTCCCTGCAGAGGCCCCGGGCAGGTGGCCTGGGCCTAGTTCTTTGTTAAATACTGTTGCTGGGTTGAGGCTGCACACAGTACCGTCCTGACCCACCCTCCTGCCTCCTCCTGGCTCCTCCAGGGAGGTGGGGCCTGTGCCAGGGTGACAGATGGGCCTGCAGGGCATGGCTTTGATTGTGCAACTTCCCACAGCCCAGGAGCCAGGCCCCTCCGTGCGCAGCGCTGGGAGGAGGGGGCCCAGCAGGCTTTGAAGGGGGCCCGGCTCCCCAGGCCTCCCCACACTGGGAGTCTTTGAAAGAACATCTGGAACTCGGGCAGCTGGCTAACTAGTCTCTGGATTTGCAAAACCAAAAGTTAATCCTGACTCTGCTTCTTGTGTGTTCCCCACCCCTGCTCCCAAGCTCCTCTCTCCCCACCCCACCTCCACTTCTGCAGGGGTGGGGGCTGCAGCCTCTCACGGTCTCCCGAAGCACCTTCTCCCCTCCCCCCCACCACGGCCTGGGAGTTTTGCTGAACTGGGCTGAGCTGAGCAGAGGGAGGTGGTGGGAAGGATGGCTGCTGCCGGTGTCCCTGCCATGCCGGGGCCCTGGGAGAGGACCGGACAGACCACCCCAGCACGGCTGGAGATGGCTGGGTGGCCATGTGAGTGGTCCCAGGCGGAAGCAGCTGCACAGACCTGGGAGGTGCCTGGCCTTTGCGGGCCCTGAGCCCTGCAGGTGTGCAGCGAGGCCCCCCGCTCCAGCTGTGGCTGACTCGGAAACGAGTCCCCCCAACTCCAGGAAACACATACTCACTGGTGGGGATACCAGGTGCTGGGCCCATTGTCTATGCCGGTGCCTTCAGGGCCTTAGGGGGGCCCAGCGACAGCCCCCATCCTGCCCCCTCCCCAGGAAAAGACCCAGCTTTGTAAACACAGAAACAACCATCGCTCCCCCCCCACCCCCCCCACCCCCCCCCTCCCCGTTAAAATCCCGGAAGAACCAGCAGGAGGTCGCACCTGCTGGGGGACGTGAGTCCTTGTTTCGGGGAAATGAGGAGGTCAGGCCTGTGGGGGCGGGGCAGAGCCGCGGCTGGGGGGCTGGGTGCCCTGGGGCCGGACGCGGGTGCCGGGGTCCCGCCTCGCCCGGTCGGGAGGTCCCGTCACGGGCCTCCTCGCGGCCTCCCCGCCCGGCCCGACTGTGACAGCTGCGGTCAGGGCTCCCCGCCAGGTGAGCAGGCCCCGACCTCGGGCCGCCCCTGGCGCCCCCTGCCCGGCGTGAGGCCAGGGGTCCGGACTGCGGCCCGAGATAAGCGCCGCGCCCGCCGCCGCTTCCTGCACTTCCAGCGCCTCCGCCGCGCGCGGCTTCCTGTTTTCTGGAGCTGGCGGGCGGGGTCGGGGGCGACGAACGCGGTCCTGGGAGACGGGGTGGGGTGGCGGGGGTGGGACGGGTCTTGGGAGACCGGACGGGTCTTGGGGGATGGGGCGGGGGCGGGAGGGGAATCGTGGGGGAGGAAAGAGGCGTCGTGGGGACGGCGCGGGGGTCCTGAGAGACGGGGCGGGGTCGCGGCGGGCGCGTCCGGAGGAACAGAAGTCGGGGAAGCGGGGGCGGGGGCTCACGCCTGTAATCCCAGCACTTCGGGAGGCCGAGGCGGGCAGATTGGGAGTTCGGGACCAGCCTGACCAACGTGGTGAAATCCCGTCTCTACTAAAAATACAAAAATGAGCCGGGCGTGGTCCTGTGCACCTGTAGTCCCAGCTACTCGGGAGGCTGAGGCAGGGGAATCGCTTGCATCTGGGAGGTGGAGGTCGCAGTGAGCCGAGATGACGCCACTGCACTCCAGCCTCAGCAACAGAGAAAACTCTGTCTCAAAAAGTAAAAATGAACCCGGGTTTCCCCGTGCTCCCCTTCTGCATGGCTGGAGCTGGCCCCTAGGGCTCCCTCCCGGGCCTGGGGCGGAAGTGGTGGGTGGGCTGGATGGAAGGTTGGTCCAGTCCCTGTAGAGCAGGCGTCCCCAAACTTTTTACACAGGGGGCCAGTTCACTGTCCCTCAGACCGTCGGAGGGCCGCCACATACTGTGCTCCTCTCACTGACCACCAAGGAAAGAGCTGCCCCTTCCTGAAGTGCGGCGGGGGGCCGGATAAATGGCCTCAGGGGGCCGCATGTGGCCCGAGGGCCGTACTTTGGGGATGCCTGCGGTAGAGCCTTAGTTTTTTTGGGGGGTCTGTTTGGGATTGGAGGTTCGCAGCTCTGGACCCCCCTTTCTGGGGCAGCTGGTTCTAGCATATGAGTTCAAGGTACTTAACCTATTCTTCATAATTTGTTATTAGAGATATGCATTTTTGTAATTTTAATAAAAACACAATTACACAAAACATTGTACACAAATGTTCATAGCAACATTATTCACGATGGCCGAAAAGTAAAAGCCATCGGTGTCCATCAGTTGCTGAATAGAATGTGCGATATCCTCGCGTGGATATACAAGGCGGGAATGTTACTCAGCCACAAAAGGAATGCAGCACTGACACAGGCCACAACATGGGCGAACCTCAAAAGTGTGCAGGGTGAGCCACGCCAGACACGAAAGGCCACGAGTGTACAGTATATTATCCCATGTGTAAGAAATGTCCAGGCCAGGCGCAGCAAAGCTAGAGACCAAAAGCAGTTCAGTGTTTATTGGGGGCAGGGGGAAGGAAAGACTAGGGAGTAATGGGTTTCTCTTGAGGGTGGTGAAAAGCCCTAAAATTAAAGCTGGGCATGGTGGTGCACACCTGCCGTTCCAGTGAGGCAGGGTCACTGCTGTGAACAGCCACTGCAGTGTAGCAGCCGGGGCAGAGCAGCAAGACCCCGTCTCAAAAAAAAAAAAAAAATTAGAGGCCAGGTGTGGTAACTCATGTCTTTAAGTCCAGCGCTTTGGGAGGCCAGGTGTTCAAGACTAGCCTGGGAAACGTGGGAGTCTACAGCAAACCAACAAGGAACATAGCTCCGAGGTAGAGCATTTGACTGCAACAGCCAGAATGCTCTAAAATTAGATAGTGGAGACGGTTTTCACCCTTGTGTATATAGCAGAATCACCCCACTGCACGCTTAAAAGTTAATGTAGGCTCTGTAGAATGTAAGCGGAGTGGTTGGGTTTCCCGGGGTGTGTGTCCTGCTGAGTGGTGCGGCCCACGTCGCCACACACGTGCCCTCCTTGCTGTCCTAGCAGGACCTTGCTGGGGTCAAGTAAGCTTATCGTCTGGTGTGTGGCCGGGTGTCTGTGTGTCTGTTGCTGTTCCCAAGGGTGTGCAAAGTGATGACCATATCTGCTGGGGAGAGGGGTGCCCCATACCTGTCCTCAGCCCCCATTTTCTCTGACCCTGTACCTGGGCAGCCTGCTGGGCAGAGTGCAACCCCTCACTCAGGTCACTCTAGGGACAAGCTGGGTCCTGGGCATGGAAGGTGGGAGGGGAGCTGGGGCCAGTGCCAGGCAGGGCTGCTACGACTTCCCACTTCCCGCCAGGAGCTAAGGCCTGACTCAGCAGGAGTAGGGGTGGAGACTTCCCTCGGACCCTCAGGGAAGAAGACAGATGGGGCCAGGAGGGGGAGGGGTGTGCAGCTGGTGCCAGGGCTGGAGTACCCAGGCCCTGGGGCGGTGGTTCTGCCTAGGAGGGCTGTTCAGCCCTTGGTGGGTAGAGGGGAGATTTCCGGGCTGGGCCTGGAAGACGCTCCTGTAAGGAGACCCTGCCCACCGCTGCCGAGGAGCTGCTATTGGAACCAGGTGCCCTCAGCGGAAGCCCCTTTCATGTCCCCTTCTGATCCTTCCGGGCATTTCCAGCTCTGGGCTGGGACGTGCTTCAGCTTGGGCCCCCCACCGGCCCCCCACCCTGGCACTTGGGGCAGAGGCTTCTCACAAGTACCCACTCTGTCCCCTCGTCACAGGGACCATGAGGCTGTGTTGCCAGCCAAGGCAACCGCCAAGCTCTCCACCGCATTGGCCTGGAGGTGGGTGCAGTGGGGGTGAGGAGTCCAGAATAGGGGATGCGTGCTGGCCGTGAGGGGGATCTCCCCAGGTTGGCTGGCTGTCGGGCACTCTTCTGTGTTTGTGTCTGTGGGTGTTGCTGGGGTGGGTGTGGCTGGGGAGATGCCCAGCCCAACACTGGAGGCTGGCGGGGACTAGGGGCAGGTGCGGGGGGCTGTTCACATGAATTCAGGCAGCAGGACAGGCTGGGTCTGCTCTCTTTCCTGGTCCGTGGTGTAGGGTAGGGGAAGGCAGGTAATCTCATGCCTGGGTCAGCCACTTGTAGACTCTGGCTGCAGGGTCACTCTCTGGCTGAGGTCCCCATCTGTGCTGAGGCTGTGAAGGAGGTGCACCTTGGGCCTGCTGACCCCAGGGCTCCAGGGATGGGCCAGGGCAAGAGTCGGGGCCATGAGAGCTGGGTGTGGCTTGCACACTTTCTCGGTGGTGAGCATTCATCTCCTGGTGAGAGCCCAGGAAGAGTCTGCATTGGTGCCTCAGAGATGCCCCCGAAAGACAGCTGTGGCTGGACGGGGCCACCCTGGTGTGTGTCCCTTTGGGTCTCACCTTCTCTCCCTCCCTGCTGTGCCTGCCTCTCTACCTCTGAGCCTGTCCTACCCTCTTCAGCAAGTCTGCTTCTGTCTCCTCTGCATACCTCTGTCCCTTTGTCTTTGAGTTCTGTGTGCTCTGCTGCAAATGGGTTGGGGAAGGGGTCCCAGGTGCAGCCCCCTACTGGGGGCCCATCTGAGGGATGGCACTCATGCTGATTAATACAGAGGTGACATGCCCTGCTCGAGGGGAGGGTCCCTGTAAAATACCCCATCCCACCCCCCCACACACACACTCGGGCAGCAGACCCACCTGCATGCACACAACCCCATGCCCACCCCGCCCAGGCTGGCTGCACATCCACATGCCATACATGCCACTACCTGCATGAGGGCCACACGGAGTCCCACTCACACACATGCAGAATCACACAGGCATGCAACACACTCTGAGCTGTGTGCTCCCTCTGCACTGGGAGGCTGAGCCGTGAGCGAATTTCCACACCAGAGCTGTCAAGGCTCAGCTCCCCACTGACTCCCCACCTATGCAGATGGGGTGCTGTGGCAGGATAGGCCCTTCCCCCAGGAGGGAGACACATGCTCCTCCTCTTGGCTGATACCTGCCAGGCCCTAGGGAGTGTGTGTGTTCACTTCTGGGGGTGATTGCTCCAACCTTCCCTGAACACGTGGGCTCGAGGTCAGGAGGACCAAGAGGTCAGCATGGAAAGAGGGTGTCCAGCCCTGGAGGCTCGTATGATATGGCTTCAGAGTTGGGGCTCTGCTGCTTTGTTCGTGGACCTGGTCTCTGGGCAGAACTGGAAGAACTGGACAGGTCGCCCCCGGGGGAGCACTGTGGGTGTCATGGTGTTGCCCTCCCTGGGGTGAGTGAGAACAGCTGATGGAGACCCCTGCAATCTGTCTGTATGTGGGCTGCCAACCTGCCCGTTGCCCTCAGAAAGGGGCCGTACTAGGCAGTCCTTGGGCACGGAAGATGTAAGGTGGAGGCAAGGGTGATGAGACCCTGACCTCCCAGAAGCTTGAGTTAAAATGGGGGTGGAGCCGGAGAGGAGTGGAGGGCTGAGGGAACTGTGGACCCGAGCCTGCCACCCATGCTCTGTGGGATGTGTCCTGGAAGGAGGGAGGAGTGCTATAGGGTTCAAGCTGGGAGTCAGGCTCCCTGGGGGAGATTAGGAGGGAAGGGGCGTGCAGGCTGTTTGGGAAACTGCTCTTCCCTCCCTGCAAACATCAGATGTCGGTGTGCAGAGAAAAGGCTGGGGGCTTTACTGTGGCCTCTCCACCAGGGTCCCAGCCCCTGGCTCCTCCTGTGTAGCGAGCAAACATCCCTATTCCTCACCTTTCAAGAGCCTTTGCCACAGTGATGCTTCTGATCACTGAAACTTCTTGGAAAAAAAGTTTAAGAGTTTAAAAATTAAATATATTGTATTAGGTATATTTTTTAAAAGGGCAAAGTAAAAAATATTAATATAATCTGGTTGTAGAAAATACACTGCAAGAAAAAAGAATAGGTGCTTCAAAAATGAGACCCTGGCCACAGGTCCTCGGCCTCCAGGAGAAGCTCCGGGATAGTGGGAACTCCAGGCACCCTCGCGGGGGGCCCCTGACGGCAGGTGGCCCAGAAGCCCAGGAAGGTGGCCTGGGGGTGGACCGGGCGCAAGGCCGAGCATCCCTCGGCTCCTAGTGGGGCCGTGACACGGAGCCAAACATACAGGCGTGGAGAGAGCGGGGCGGGCAGCGACGTGGCCGGCCGGGTCACTCGCGGGGGGCGCGGGAGGAAGCGCTGCGGGGACGCGCCGGGCCTAGCCCGAGATGCACGCGCTGTAGTAGACGGCGCTGCTGGCGTCCGACAGCGCGGAGATCAGGCTGCTCTCCTCGGGGCAGGACATGGCGCGCGGGCCCAGCTTGGCCAGCGCCACGTGGTACGGGAGCCCGGGGGCGTCGGGCCGAGTCCGGCTGCAGTTGAGGTACTGGTCGAACTCGGTGAGGTCCACGTCGGCCCACAGGTCGGCCGCGGGCCCCAGCGGCTCGGCGCTCTCCAGCGGCGGGGCCTCGGGCGGCGGCGACAGCGGGCCGGGGAAGGGGCCTGGCGCGCCCAGGGCGCCGTAGTACAGGCCGGCGAGCGGCGCCGCGGGGGGCGCGGTCCTGAGCGCCTCGGCCAGGGGGGCCCCGTAGCAGCCGCCGGGGTCCCGGGACAGCTCGGCGGGGGCGTAGGGCGCGCGGAAGGGCCGCAGCGCGCAGTCCTCGGGCGCCGCGGGCGGCGGGAAGAAGGCGGCCTCGCCGGGCTCCAGGCCGTCCAGGGGCGAGCGCTCGGGCGTGGGCAGCCCCAGGCCGTCGAACTCGGCGCCCAGCGCGGGCAGCTCGCGGAAGGCGCGGGCCGAGCCGGGCGCCGCGGGGAAAGGCTCGGGCGGCTGCGGCGGCGCCAATCCCGGGAGCAGGAGGCCGGGCTCCAGCCGCCGGGCCTTGCGCGCCTGCTTCTTGCGGCGCGGCCGGTACTTGTAGTTGGGGTGGTCGCGCAGGTGCTGCACGCGCAGCCGCTCGGCCTCCTCCACGAAGGGCCGCTTCTCCGCCGCGTTCAGCTCCTTCCACGCTTTGCCTGCGGGCCGAGGGCGCCGGTGAGTGCCCGGCCGTCCGGCGGGTGGACGAGCCCTCCGAGCGCCTGGGACGCGTCCCGCGTCCCCGGATCGCCGCCCCGCCAGGCCCGAACCCCGTGACCGCCCCCCCCCCGCCCGGCCCGAACCCCGCGCCCGCCCCGCGCCCGCCGCTCACCCAGCATCTTGCTGAGCACCGCGTTGTGCAGGTCGGGGTTCTGCTGAGCCAGCCGCTTGCGCTCGTCCTTCGCCCACACCATGAAAGCGTTCATGGGCCGCCGGATGCGCGACTCGTCGGCCGCCTGGCGTTCCCCGCGTCCGGCCGGGCTGAGGCCATAGCGCCCCGGCTCGGGGCTGCGCGGCGGGCTGCGCGGCGGGCTGGGCGGCGAGGCGGGCGCGGCGGGCGCGGCGGGGGCGGCGGCGAGGCCGCGCGGGTCAGCGGCGGCCCCGCGTCCCGGGGCCCATGCACAGTCGCGGCGGGCGGGCGGGTCGTCCTGTGCGCCGTAGCCGGGCGGCGATCTCTGCATTCCAGCTGGGCGCGGCCTGGGCGGAACGGAGCGCGGGAGCGCGGCGGGCACTGCGGGGCCGGGCGCGAGGGCGGAGGGCGGAGGGCGGCGGGGACGGCGGTGGCCTCGGCCGGGCGGGCGCCCAGATATAGCGGCTTGGGGCCAATCGGCGGCGGGGCGGGCGGGCCGGGGCGGGGCGGGGCCGGCCCCTCCCCGGGGGGCCCCCTTTCTTCTCGGGCCGGGAGGGATTCCGCCGAGGCCGCCCCCGCGCTGAGCCCCCCGCCCCGTCTCAGAAGGAGAGACCCCCGGGTGGGAAAGGGCTGCCATGTGGGCCGGTACTGTCAGACTGCCGGAGCCCAGCTGCCACCCACCCACGGAGCTGGACCCCGGGGCAGGCACGGGGCGGGCGGCATTCCCCGCGGCGCACCCCCATCTGCGCCGTCCCCCGTACCCCCGTAGGAGGTTCCACTGCGGGGAGAGGGCCCTTTTTCACTCCAAGTTCTTGGGCGACCGCTTCCCAGCAGTCGGTAAGTCTTCCTGGAGTGCAGCACCTTTGGAGAAGCCTCCGTCTTGGGGAAGCCTCTGACTACCCAGGGGCGTTCCTGTTCCTAACTCCACACCCACGTGCCACTGTCAGCCCCAGGGACTCTGAATGCCCTCAAGGGACAAGGTGGTCTTCGTGTTTCTGTCCCCACTCTGAAACCAACTCTGGCACAAGGCAAAGCTGACACAGGCTGGGAGAGAGCAGCTGGCCTGGGGGAGCCGGCAGAGCGGAGGGAGAGCAGGCATGCAGAGGTCCTGGCCTCCTCCCTGCCCAGCCCGGGCCACCGCTGCAGCAAGAGGGTGTGAGGCTGGGCAGCTGCAAGGAGCTGGGTCCTTCCTGCCGGCCCCTCCCTGGACCTCTGACCTGGGGGAGGGTGGTCCAGAGGAGCATCCAGCTTCCTGAATTTTCACTGTCCCCTTCCCACCCCATCAGGAGGGGATCTGGGCTCCAGAGCTGAGGGTCTCCCCTGGAGATCCTCCGCTCCCACTGCCAAGCATCGTTCTACCGGAGGAGGGTCGGTGTCCCCTGCAGCCCTCCAAGCAGGGTCGGAATCCCTCAACCATCTCCTTGAAGCCTGGAGGCTCCCCAGTCCCCCTCACTGTGCCAGGAGCCCCGTGGGTAGAGGCCACAGGTCTTGGTGACCCTGGCTGGGCCTGTGCGGCCAGAAGCTGTTGATGCTCTGTCCCTGCCTGTGTCATGAACAAGGTGGGTTCTGTGTGAGCCTTGCAGTGCCTCTCAGGGGCTGTTCCTGAACTGTCTCCAAGGGTGCTCCTGCTCTGAGGAGAGGCCAGCACCCCCAGGGGGGACCCCCACCTGAGGTGTCCAGCCCTCCCCATAGCCCTACATCACAGTCTGGCGTGGGGGGCTCATCAGCAACACCCATCATCCCAGTGTGCGGGGCGGGGTTCCCCAGTCTGGCCTCCAGATCTCCCCTTGCCCCAGTTTGCCCCAGCGGCCCAGCACCTCATTCACAGACTCTGAGCCAGTGCTGGCAACTGGGGGCCCTTTGGGGCACCTGGGGAGGCAGGCAGGGTTGTGGCCACAGGGGTGGGTGGGCTCAGTCCTCTGCCAGGTGATGCTGGTTCCCCTTCCATCTCAGTGTGGGTGGGCCTCCTGGGGCAGCAGGCAGGAGGGTGCAGGGGGATGGGGAGCTGTGTGAAGACCCCCAAAGGGCTACCACATGGCAGAGGCTCCCTCTGCTCACAGCCTTGGGGATGCAGTCTGGGGTGACCAGGGCAGCAGCCTCCACATGTTGGGAGGGATTTGCAGTTCCCTGGGGCTTCTGCCTGGCCCTCTTCTGCCCCTGAGAGCCCAGAGTTATTGGAGCGGCTCTAAACATAGTGGCAGGCAGTGTCCAGCATGACCTCATCGCCTCCTCATCCCCCCTCAACACCCACCAGCAGCCGCCTTGCCTGGCGCCGGCCGTGACCCTCCCTCTTGGCTGGGCTGTGGGACTCAGGTGTCCGGCTGTCATGTCCTGTGAGCCAGGGCTGGGCGGGGAGCCTCCTGGGGTGCTCCTTTCCCTCTTTGAGGCCAGGCTGTACACTGTACACTGCGTGGCAGGGAGGAGGACAGCAGCCCTGGCCCCCTGTCCAGACGGGACAGAGTGGGGGCAGGGGCCGTAGTCAGGGTGGTGTCATCCTGGAGCCGCAGGGCTTGGGGGACTCGCCAGGGCTGTTCAGGGGATGGTGTGGGTGTGGCCTGATGTGCCGAGGGAGGGGCATCCCATGTGTGTCTGTGCTTCTGTGTGTGGCCTGTGTCTGTCTGCCTGGGTGTGGTGTGAGGGGGACTCTCGTGCTGGAGGCTGCCCAGGGCCTTGGGAGCCAGGCCAGCTGGACTCTCCCAGGAGGAGATGAAGACCCATACGTCTAGGACCAGGGCTCCTCCTCTGTGAAGTGTGGAGGGTCCCCAAGGCTTCTCCAAAGGAGGGCAGGCAGTTCATGCATCTAGGGACATTCCTCTGCCTCTGGAACCCCACCTCAGTGTATCCTGGACTGGGGGTGGCTACGGCCCACCCTTAGGAGGGAGCCTGTCTGTAGCCCCCAAGCCCCAGACAGAAAGGCAGAGTTTGGGGACAAGCCTCCTCTACAAGGGTGGGGCTGGCCTGGGTACTGAGTGGACACTGTCCTCCTGCCCACCACCTGCCCCTCTCCCTCAGCTGGGACAGGACTCCCAGCCTCCAAGTGAGGCCTGCAAAGGATGCTGGGTAGTCACCCTCGGTGGCTCTGGGTGGGGGCTTGGCTTGGCGTGGCTCCGGGCTGGGATGGCGGACCTCCCAGGCACTGCCTGGGCACAGACCTCCCAGGCTCCCACCAGCCCAGCCCCTGCAGAGCAGCGGGGCTGGGACCAATTACCAAGTCCTGCTGGGCCTGGACCCTCCTGCTCCTCGAGGGTGGAGGTGGGGGTTCCTGTTGGATACAGTTTCAGGTGGAGGGGGCTCTCTGGCCTCCTGAACCTCTGCTCCCTCCAGTTCAGATCCCACCTTCTGCGCACAGCCGAACGCCGCCCCTGCAGGGAGCCCCCGACCTCCCAGCCACTGTCCTCAAGAGGCCGTAGCATCTCCGTCTCTTTCTGTCTGCTTCCTTCGAGACCCATGAGACAAGTCTGGCTCCTCGGGAGCTCTGTCTTCAGCAGGCCGTGTCCTTGGGTTGCGGCTCCAGGCCTGGTGAGGCGTGGCAGAGGCAGCAGGCCCCCGAGGGCCAGGGCAGGGGAATGTGAGGCTGGGCCAGGGTCTACGAGAAGGCCGGCTCATGCCTCAGAACCAGGTGGACAGTGTGTGCACGTCTCTCTTGGCCAGTGCCAGGACCGGTTCAGGTGGACACGGGGGCCTTTGCCCAGGGACAGGGGCTTCTCCGGGCTCTGCGCCTTCCAGCTCTCGGTCCTGCTGTGCCCGTCTCTCCCGTGTGCTGCTGGCCTCAACTCTGGAGAAGGCAGGTGGGGGCAGTGAGTGCCTATGCTTTCCCGGGCATGAGTGGCATGAGAGGTACATGTGCCCGCGCTCACCTGGCAGCGCCTCTCAGCTGTCAGACGTGGGGTCGGGGTTCACCTGTCGATTTGCCACAGTCCAGTGGACCCGAGTCACATGCAGAGCTGGTGTCTTCAGAGCAGGCTGGCGGAGGTCTGAGGGTGTGGGTGTGGGGGGCTGTGCCGGGGCCTGCAGGCTGGGGTGTACGGTGTGAGTGGGGTGCTGCTGTAGTCTGAGGGGTGATGTGCCAGTCACTGTGTGATGTCAGGGGTCTCATCTACGCTGGGTGCTAGGGGCCAGCAGGACCAGGAGGGGTGGGGGCTTCTCTGAGCCAAGGGCCACAGGGGGATTGTGGGGCTGGGAGTGCTGTATGCATAGGGCGATGCTGGGCTTCAGGCTGCAGAGGCGGTGTGGACAGTCAAGGTCAGGTCACCTGCAGTGAAGGGGCTTCCGCGAGTGCTCCCTGGGCCCTGGTGATGTGGAAGCTGTTCTGGCTGTCATGCTGTGGTGGGCATGTGCCTAGGGTGTTGTCACGGGCTGTGCCCGCTTTTAGGGGCACTGGGTAAGAGCCGGGTGTCAGAGCAGCTGCCGGAGCTCTGTAGGGGCCATGTGTGGCCCTCTGGGGGTGATCTGCCTGGGGATGGCTGCAGGGTCACTGTGTCCCTGGGTGTCTGTGCAGCCTTCCCAGTGCTGCCAGAGGGCTGGGGGAATCCATGGGAAGCAGGCTGGGGGCTGGGCTGCCCCAGGTTTCTGAGGCAACAGCAGGGCAGGGCCAGGAAACTGCAGCTCAGGAAGGAAGGCCGGCTTCGAAGCGAGGAGGGAGCAGGGGGCCCGTTTAGGCTGAGCAGGCGCCAGACTTTCTGTCGTGCACCCCGTCCCCACTGGCTGGGCGCTCCTGCCCTGTCCACGCGTCCCACTCTTGTCTCCGCCACTAACCTTGTAGGGCTGCCTTTCTTCAGACCTGGGTGGCTCAGCGTGGGTCTATGGGGAACCTGGCCCAGTGCTGATGTGCGCCCTCTCCTCTGTGGCTCTGTGGAGGCCTGCATGCCCCTCTACAGCTCTGTAGCCCCCATGGTGGCTGATGGGGTGGCCTGGATGGTTGGGCATGTGTTAGCACACTCCGGTCCCCAGGGGCCTTGCAGAGCAGTGCCCACTCTGACTGCCCCGTCCTGGGCTGGCCCAGCCACCTCCTCCCCTGCCAAGCTGGGAAATGGGGAGAGGGAGAACACCCTTGGGGTTACCTGTCTCCCACCTCGGCGGGCACCTCAGGGCTGGAAGCCTGAAGCTGTGTGTTTCTTTCTGTTGCTCGTCCTGGCATTGGTGACAGCCAGCTGAGGCTGCCACACAGGCTGGAGGGGCAGGCCTGTGTTCTGGGGGCTCATCTACCACTTCTTGCTCAGGGACAGGCAACATCTATCCATCCATTTGTTACCGAGCACCTGCCGTGTAGCAGACCCTGTTTTGGGGGTTGGGAATTTGGCAGAGAACAACGTAGACAGATACCTGCCTATGGGAAGCTTCTATTTTGGTGAGAAGAGACAGTCAGTCAACAAATCCACAAACAGGCCAGTGGCTCACGCCTGTAATCCCAGCGCTTTGGGAGACTGAGG